GAGGGGAATTAGGAGCAAATCCTGCCACTACCAGATTTTTCCTGTCTCTGCAGAGGCAGGGAGACCCACAAAGGGGAGGGAAGGAGAAGAAGTATTCCCCAGGGTGCTGTCCTTAAGTGCTTTGTGTGTAGATATTATGTTTAAATTGCTTGTATTCAAGGAAGGAAGTGAGGGGACATAAATATCAGCACATTTAAATAGCTATTCCCTGGAGATACTTTGTTTTAATATAGTGGTATTATCAGTGCAAAGGGCTGCAATATTTCTTTTCATTCATTGCTTATACTATGGAAGTTTCTGAAACATTTCATTTAATTGTACTAAGACATCAGTCATCATTTTCCAGTTAAAGTTGTAGGAGGCTTTCATTTTGAAACACCATTATAACTTTCAAAATAATTCCTTTTAAGCTGATGTTTAGTGTCAACCCAAGCATGACTCACATAGCTAAGTTGGAGAAAATCACCTTAGCCATTTCTGCATTATGAGAGTGTGACAAGAGGGTTTTTTTTTTTAAAAACAATGACATTTTTCATAGCTTCGAAATCAAACCCCCACACGTTTTAGTGAAGCTGTGTGGTAGCTTAGCTGCAGAATCACAGAAAGAGCTAGGTACACATGTGCACACGCGAGGCAGGGCCACGCGCTGCCTCCCCGCTCACGAAAGGCACGTTGGTGCCCACGCACGTTGGTGCCCGCACCTCACGGAGCGCCGCGCGGGGAGAAGCCCCATTGCCCTCCTGTAACCCCCACGCAGGGGGTGTCCTGGCCCGTCTCCCGCGGCCTGGCCGAAGCTGGGCATCGCCCGCCCTCGCCTTTGCCAAAGGACACCACGGGAGGCATGTGGGGAGAAGAGAGAGGTGCTCTGTGTTAATGTGCGGGAGTTCGAGAACTGAAACCTTTGCTGAAGGCAGGAAGGTGGAAAAAAGTGTTCGTAAAAGTGCCATATAGACTCCCCAGCAAAAGCCTGAAGTCTTTATTAGCTTCAGGGATGCCTCCAAGCATGAAGGAATAAGAAGTAAAATGGGAAGAAACCTGTAAGACAGTGTGCTTTTAGTCTCTTTTTCAGTTCCTAATCTGAAAAATTTATTCCTTTTCTCCATTCCTCTATTTTGCTCAGGAACTGCATCTATAGCACACAGCAGGGGTTGCATCTCAGCTGGTGCTTCAGGAAGCCACACATTTGCTTAAAGACACTGCCCCACAGCAGGGACAAGGCAGCAAACACAGCTTTTCCTATCAGCAAACATCAGCAGTCTGGAGTGCTTTTGTCTATCACCACGTTATCCCAAGGACATCCAGCCTCTTCTCTGCTAGACTGGGTAGCCCACCGGATCAAATCACTTTCAGGGACTTGAACCTTATCTTCAGTTTTATAACTGGTTCAGGCAACCAAGCGAAGGCATCATCAAAGGCTCTAGATTCTCTGATCACACAGGCATCCCGCAAGAGATCACATTAAAACCCAGCTCACGACAAAGAGTTTAACTACCAGAAGAACAGTGAAGCTTATTGTGCAAGAAAGGGGAATGCTTGGGGGTAAAGATCCAAGCATGTTAACTCCTCAAAAGTTAAGGGCCACCCTAACATGACTGCCAGTACCAAAGCATTCCTCAATTTCTTTAATAAACTGAAGCAGGAATAGAGCCCAACATTTCTCCTCCAGTGTCTCAACAGCATCCGTTAGCATCATCCATTCAGTAACTGAAAGTTAAACACTGACAAAAAAGTGAACTCATTAAAATGAAATTCTGTCTATAAAGTACACCGAGACCAGTAAAAGGAGTTTCATTTGTGTGCTTGAGAAACAGCAAAAGTGACCCCTGCATCATGATACATTACATTTGTTTGTGGGTTGGCATGAGGCTCAAGAAGTTTTAAAACCTCTAAGCTGTTAGATTTTCTATTACTCTGTGACTTCACCCTCAGCGAAGAGCAAATCCTCTTCCTCTTTTCCTATTTTTTTAGCCAAATACAACAGGTAATGAAGATTTCAGACAAAGGACCTGCTATTAGGCCTTCTTATCACCTTTTTCTTCCTTTTGGTGATAGAGCTGTACTTGTTAATTCTCAGTTTGCCTCATTTGTTTTCTAGGCACTTGAGAAGGTGGAGAGACCAGACCCATTCATTTCAGAGTTCCCAAAACAGCTATAAACACTTCACCACTTTTACCACCTAAATATCACAGATATATTTGTCTTTCTCACATGGGAACAAACACAAAGAAAAGAACTACTGAAAAAAAACCCCTCACATTTAATCCACAAAAATTAAATGTCATGCTTGGTTAACCTTAAATGCTACCAAATCTGGCCCTGCTGCTTTCTCTTAACTGTGGTTGGAGGAAGAACTGTTATCTTCTTCTGCATCTATAGAAGCCGCTGAACACTTCAGTAGCAAATAGAGAGTTAGTCAGATGAAGATGATGAAGAAGGTCACCCTGAGAGATTCCTGGTGATAACTGACTGGCTCCACGAACTACCTTTGCGGTAGTGCAGATAAAACAGACCATTTCACACAATTCCCCAGGTTAGAGAATGTTCTTATTTAGAGCTCCTTGAGGCATCAAGGCCTCAGGACAGTATATATTTTTAGAATGATATGTTAGTTTAGCTGGCTTACCTTTAGTCATTTTTGGAAGGTAATCATTAGAGATTAAGCATAAAACGCCTATTTTTGAGGAGTTTGACACAATACTTTAGAAAATCGTGAATTCATTAGGCCTTGGACACTCTCTAGTGTATTAGACAACAGTGATGATTTACATTATTTTGAAGCTGCAACTAAATTTTCAAGGGTAATGGATTTCATCTAAGGAGATAAGAAGATAAAGACACTTCATTAATGCCTCTATGTCTGCTTACTTCTTTTTCTGGCATGCTGCATTTAGGAAAAACAGATAAGGCAGAGAGGATGCTGGTGTATTTTTATGCTAATTAATATATTTTAATTTCAAATAGCACTTTGTGGAGCTCAGAGCTTCCAGAAAAAAAATGGTGTCAGTGCAAAACTAATGAATTTTAATTCTTTTCAGTAGATTTCTGCTTTCATGAATTCTTTTTGTTATATTCTGATGCAGCAGAATGCACTAGTAGGCATGCAGAGGGTACAGCCCACGGATCTGATTTTTTCAGAAATCTGATTTAATGGGTTTAGCTGTATAAGGAAGATCACCTCATAATCATGTTGTTTCTAATAACCAAATGCGTAATAACTAGAAAAATACAAAGCTCAGGAAGATGGACTTTAAAGATGGATTTTAAAGCTAAGATTAATAAAATGGATTTTAAAGATTCTTTAAAGCAACACATTTTAAGTACCAAGGAAACTTTTTGCATCCCTGATACGTTGAACTCACGTGTGGCTAAATCATGCCACTAACATAGGTATTTTAAGGAGCAGTACTTTAGCTCTCAGCTCCTTTGCAGTGTGAACAGTTTGGGCCAGTGAATCCATGGAGCAGAATTTGCCCCCAACTCTAGACTGTGGCCAAGGCCTCCCGGAGTGGCCGTCCGCCTGTGTTCTGATGCAAAAGGTGAGGTGAACAAGGCACAGCCTTTTTATAATAACAGAGCCCATGCTTAGGTACGATACTGCTACAGTCCCAGCTTATTTTAACAAGCACCTGAGCTCACGGCACCCGCAGGCACTGATATAATCGGCTCGTGCGACAGGAGGGAGCAATAAACTGGGACTGGTTCCTTGCCCCATAAATCAGCGACGTAGCTGAGACTCTGCAAAACAGAACATGAAATGATCTTTTTATTTGCATAACTAACATACCTGAGTTTGTATATAAAGCAGGGGCACAGCCGTAATTCACTGCATTGCAGTTAAAAAGAAAGCAAATCAGCAATGCAGCCCTCTGTAGAGACCGATGTTGTGATGTGCTGGGTACCCACACACACCGGCAAGAACCTTCCTCATCACATTATGGCCATTCTCATTTGTAGCCTTCACAAACCTCCATTTTTGACGAAATGTAGGTACATCTTAAAACAAAAGTTTGCTTTAATACCTGATAATACTTATATATAATGCTTGTATATAACGCTTATAAGCACCAAAATGAAGCACACTGATTTTTCTTCCAAATTCTTCCTTTTGGTGGGACAAGGAAAGAACAATCTGAGGAAGCTAATGGGAATTTATAGACCAGCTCCAGTTGAGCAGAATACCAATTTGGGATAAAAATACTAGATGGAAAAGAAGTCATCTACTTCTGCTTAAGAGAAACCTCTCATAATTAGAGAAGAACTATGGAAATCTTCTGTAGCTGAGAGAAAACGCAGAATTAGAATATTGCTGTCCATCTATATAGGGCAATAGTGATAAACATTTTCTTGGGACAGATTGTGTATTTTTAAGCTCTTGCAGTTTAGAGCTTTTAGAAGCCGTTAGATTTTTTTCCCCTCCCATGAAACCGTAGCGAACAGTTAACATTTTGTTCTTGGGAGTTTCCAATTATTTCTCATTATAAACTTAGCTCTTGTTAAAAGCAAATTTCTTCCCCAGTCTTCCTGAACTGACACTGTGATGGATTATTATTTCTTTCAGTAAAAGTTTGAATGTTGAGGAAGTGTCATTTCTTTCAAATTAAGTGATAATAAAATGAATTACAGTAGTGCTGAGATAATCTACTCTCGATATAAGTTTGCAGTTTGCTGTTCCTGCATGAAACATGAAGGTAAGAAAGACAACTCATCATCTCGGTTTAGTGTCTAGGACCTTTATAACTGATGAATAAGATGACTGAATTTGCTTGTTTAAATTTACACATGAACTCAATATAGAAAGTAATATGGTTTGTGCGGAAGCACTTACCTTTATCGAGACTTCATCAGACAGTTAAATAAAAGTTAGGTTTCAAAATTTCCTTAATAATCAAAAAATGAGTTATTACTTTAGCCATGCACCTTAATTTCTATGGCAAGCTATGTGAAACAGCTTTATGAGCCAACCAAAGCCACAGCCAGTAACCCTGCCGCTGCCGTTGCAGGTACCTGGGAATAACGAGGCCGCTCACGTACCCGGTGCGGCAGAACGGGAGGTGCATGGCCAAGATGATCTTGTGCGTGTGGCTCCTGTCGGCCTCCATCACGCTGCCGCCGCTCTTCGGCTGGGCCCAGAACGTCAACGACGAAAAGGTTTGCTTGATCAGCCAAGACTTTGGCTACACAATTTACTCCACTGCGGTCGCCTTTTACATTCCCATGTCAGTGATGCTTTTCATGTACTACCAGATTTACAAGGCTGCTAAGAGGAGTGCTGCTAAACACAAGTTTGCTGGGTTTCCCCGGGCAGAAGAAATGGAAGGAATATCTATGAATGGAGTTGTTAAACTGCACAAAGAATCTGAAGAATGTACTAATTTTTCACGACTCCTTAAGCATGAGAAGAAAAACATTTCCATTTTTAAAAGGGAACAGAAAGCTGCCACCACCCTTGGAATTATCGTTGGGGCTTTCACTGTGTGCTGGCTGCCCTTCTTCCTGCTCTCCACTGCCAGGCCCTTCATCTGTGGCACCGCATGCAGCTGCATCCCGCTGTGGGTTGAAAGAACCTTTCTATGGTTGGGTTATGCCAACTCTCTCATCAACCCTTTTATATACGCCTTCTTCAACCGGGACCTGAGGACAACCTACCGCAACCTCCTGCAGTGCCGGTACAGGAACATCAACCGGAAGCTCTCGGCTGCTGGCATGCACGAGGCGCTGAAGCTCGCAGAGAAGCCGGAGTTTGTCCTGTGAGGCCGCCTGCCCTTTACTAGAATAATTTATTGTTTTAGCACATGAACTCGTTTCCTCAAGTTTGGAAGAAGGGTTATAGGAAGAATGAGCATTCTTGAGCGCGGTTAACAGGGTCATCAAGAAGCGGGAAGGTGGCGAGGTAAAGTCCCGCACAATGCACTGGCCATAACGAACCTGGAGAAAGCAGAAGACAATCTAATGCATCTGGGTAAAAGGAAAGGGAACTTCAGTCCTGGATACTGGAGAGGGGAAGGAAGGAAAGGGGGTGCAGGGTTTCTGGGTTGCCAGTGAGGAAAGAGGGAAGTTGGCCTAACCCTATTGTTTGGTCCTCAGCCCCAAACAACTTCTAGTAGCTCTCAATATTGGATGCATCTTGTATCCTAGAAATTTTTGCTGTAATAAAGACCTGAAAATGCTGAAGAGTTCAGTATAACTCACTGCTTTCCACTTTGTTATTAGAAAAATAAACCATTTAAGATGAAGCTGGATCAGAGAAGTTATATTGCTTTGAAGTATTCCTTATTGTAAAAAAAAGTGTCCATTAAACATTAATTTACTGAATTTCCTGGGGATAAACTAGTCTGTGAAGTTTCATGTTGCGTTTGTGTACTGAAAGAAGACATTACACATAGAACGTAAGAGATGGAGCAAAGTCTCAGACCTGCTCCTGCACAGAGCCAAGCAACACCATGATCTGCAGAGCTGCTACAGCAGTTATGCCAGAGAGATGTATTGTCCTATATTGCTAACTTTAATAAGTGATTACAGCTTATTGCAGGAGTTGTCTAGTCCAAGGCATCTTCTCTTTCATTAATTCTCTTGGTTTTATCATTTGAGCCCTTCTTCAATTTAGGCTCACACTTTTTCCTATGCTAATATGTTAGGTTCTTTTGTTGCTACAGCTGGTCTCTGTTCTGTGAAATTTTAGGTTTTTGTTTGATTGTTTTCCTGAGCCAGCTAGGATTAAAAGGGCCCTAGATGATATTCTGAATCTTCAAGTCTTTATCTACACACACTGACTTTGGTTATCATTTCTGCTAAAAAGGTTTTAAAACTTGCCTTGAATAAGAACCAAGAACATTCAGTTTCTAGGTCCAGCTGCGCACCTCCACACCAGCTCCTCTAACTGCGCGGCTCTGCCCCTCCTGACATGGGTATCAAAGTCAAACTCTTCCCACAGTTGAGCGAGTCAAATCTCCTAACATTATTGCTTATTTACAACAAGAACCCAACTTGTAGCAACTTGTATCAGTGTGATGATTTCTGTGGAGTGAGTGTGCACGACCCACACCATGTTCCAGACTGAGCTCACAGCTGTGCCCTGTGCTCCATTTTCCACATCTACATTTTCAGCTCTTGCAGTATTGCTGAGAGGAGGGAGGAAAAAAAATCTCATAGCTCGTTATGCTATTAGCTTCTGCAATTACTGATCAGTAAGTTAGGGCATTGTATATATTAAGCTTCCTCAATCACACTCCAGCAAATCACACTTTAGGCTAAGTCTTGTGCTCATTTGCTCAAGTACAAAACCAAGATGACTTATTTTCAGTGATGTTCATAAGGATGGTCAGGGCCTGGACCATCTGCCCTATGAGGATAGACTGAGTGAGCTGGGCCTGTTCAGCCTGGAGAAGAGAAGGCTGAGGGGGGAACCTGAGCAGTGCCATTAAATACCTCAAGGGAGGCAGTGAGGAGGAGGGGGCGGCCTCCCCTCAGTGGTAGCTACTGGTAGAACTTGAGGAAACAGCCACAAACTGAAGCACCATGGGAACTTAAGGAAAATTTTCTTGACAGTGAAGGTGACAGAGCTCTGGAACAGGCTGCCCAGGGAGGCTGTGGAGTCTCCTTCTCTGGAGATCTTCAGAACCCGCCTGGACGCAGCCCTGTGCTGTGGGTGACCCTGCGTGTGCAGGGGGGTTGGACTCGATGATCTCCAAAGGTCCCTTCCAACCTTAAGGATTCTATGTTAACTCAGGCTGAACAGTGAGCAGCTTGTGCCACATTGTGTGTTTGAAACACAGCTCTTTGCAAAGGCTTGAGCTTGTAAGCAGCAACAGCAGCATCTGTGCTGAGCTGTGCACCCCAGAACAAGCCTAGGTAGATTCATACACTGAAAAACACCCAGTACCAAATATCTGGGGGCTCTTGAGAGGGATAACTTTGTAATGGTAAGAGATGTACTATATCCCCGGTTCAAATCTGTTTTAAGAAAGTTTAAAATTAATTTGAAATATTTTGATTTCTTTTCAATATTCCAAAAATATTATGTGCAGAAGAAAGATAAGAGAGTATCTGTAGCTCTGTAGAACACAGATTAGAGCTAATGTTACTATGAGGACATTTTCTGTAGTCAGCATGAAATGACTGACGTTTCTGAATTTAAATTACCTATCAGAAAGGCACCTTTGGGATTCCTAATGTAAGGGAGTAATTTTCTCAGTTCTTCTGTATCAATTTTCTTTTTCTATGAGATAAATGAGATTTTTCAAGAGAGAATAAGCAAATTAAAATATTTACAAAGGCTCCAAGGAGGATTTTAAAATTCTGCAGCTGATTTCAGAATTCTGTGGAGAACTTTCAACTGTTATTATTCTGCAGGAAATGGTCGGAAGTTGTATTTGTTCCAAGTTAGAAGTTTTCCATATTAAAAAAAAAAAAGTTTTATGAGTCAGAAATTCTGACATTTGCCCAAATGTCGAGGCAATTGCTTCCTTCAGAGGGAGCATCCTACAAGACTACTCTCCTTTACCATCTGTTTCAGACAAGGAGATCCCTGGAAAGAACAGGAATTGTTACAGGCTATGTCAGTGCTTGTTGTATATTGTGGGGTAAACAGACAACTTTCATCTCTAGATATGTTAGAAAGTTTCTTTATTTAGTCCAAACAAGCACAGCTACACAGCAAATGGAAGGGTTGTTGTTGGTTGGAGCTGCTTTTAAGGGGAAAAACAAACACTAAATTTTAGGAGAGAGCAATGAAGTCCCCCCTTCCCTAGGCACAGGGGAAATGCAGTGCTGAAGATGAGCAAGCTGCAGACTGAAAGCAGCCTGGTTGAGAAGCATAAGGAGATAATTGCTTGAGTTCAAGTTAGAATGCCCAACTTCAGAAATAACATATTCTCTTGTTAGATAATTCACTACTCATGTGGCAAAGGGCTAAAATGTGTGAACAAGAAGTCTCCTTCAAACCTACAATCCGGCATTCCCTAGCACCAAGTCCTAGGAGGGATCTCACCCTCTGTCTCCCTTCTTTCGTGCATCTCTAGGAGAATGCAAAGGAGGCAAACTGGAGGGAAAGAGTGATTAAAACTCCCAGAAGCAGTCAGAAGATTGGGAGGCCAGCATAAAAGCAACTAAAAGATGGAAAGGTGAGATATCAGAGGCAGGGCAAGAAGCAGTTCTAAGTTTCAGATGTACAGCTGAGTCATTTTTGGGGTGACACGCAGAAATGTGGAGGGAACAGAAATGTGGAGTTAGCAGAAACATACATTTTTAGACAATATGAAGTGAATTTTGACTTTAGGTTATACCTCTTCAAATGTAAAGCCAAGAAAAGCCTGAAGTCTACTTTTATTTTTAAAAATAATTTCAAAAAAAAAGATTGGTGCAACTAAATCCATGGATGTATTCACAGAACATATACTGCTATGACTGCTGCTCCCTAGGAGTTCTGGAAAACTTCAGTCATCTCTTTAACTATTGTCCGAGTTGTGAGAAGTCCCCTGTTAACCACAGGGCTCAAAAGGCTCTTGAAATGCTGCAGAGTTTCAGCTTTTCTATCAAGGTATCTGTTGCTTTGCACAACGTTTGTGTGTTTGACAGAAAGGTCCTCAGGAGCACAGGGCAGCACATTCCAGTAAACAAAAAAAGCACAAAAAAAAGACAATCCTGGGAAGCAGGTTTGCCTTTTAACTATAGTGCAAAACTGGTCTTGTCCCAGCTGAGATTTCTGTCTGACAAAACTCAGGGCAACATTTGCTGTTACTGACTGTGCCTGTCTGCAGCATTTCTGATTAGAAAGCTTGGTCTCACTGCTATGCTTCCCAGACCATCCTTCCCATTTCTATAGTTCTGCCTGTGGTTCCAAAATTGATTTCTACACCTGTAATGTGACCCTTGGTTGGTGATGGTGGTGGGCAAATGAACCAAATTCTGCTTCCGTTTACAAGACTGACAGGTGTGTGAAATAGCTGTACTTAGCTCACACCACACTGTCCTTCTCATTGCTTTTCACTGTCTCACAAGGCTGCTCAGCCCTTGCCTTCCTCTACAGCTCCTGCATAGGGATTTACCTCTCCTTATTCAGAGGGAGAAGGAGTCACCACAAATGTATTTTTAGGTTAGGACGTTTTTGCTTGGGACCTCGCCAGTGCAAGTTTCTGGGGAAATGCTGCCAGCTGTATTGTAATGAGTCAGAGGAATCAGAAGAGTTACAAGTATAAATAATGAATATTAATCATTATTAGAGTTTATTTACACAAATCTTCATTTTGCAATGATGACCCCACAGTGATTAGGGATTATGTTCAGGTACTGTAGGGAAAGAAACGAGATATCCTTGACTCTATGCGTCTCCTCTGTTCACCTACACAGGGGTCTGTAGAACTGCTCAAGGGCAGCTACTGAGCAAACCAGTTCCCTAAAAGGAATTTTAAGCACAGCTGTGTGCCAAAGATACTTCCCTAAGCCTAGCTCACAAACACACTTTATTATATTAGTAAAACAAACGAACAACAACAACAAACCTGCCCAGCTGCAACCAAAAACCCCCAAAGTCTACAAGTCTGAGCAGGCTGGGTAAAGGCAGTGCTTCACACAGCTCCGGGCTTGGCGTTGGCACCACCTTTTGTAGCAGTTATCACACGGGTGCCTTCTGGCCTGGCTTCTTTTGTAGAAGTTACCACATGGGTGCCGTCACCCCCCGCGCCCCTCCTGACCCTGCCTCCTGAGCGAGGCCTTTCCGCAGGGCGCCTCATGGCGCCATGCAACGCAATGCGTGAGGCCTGGCGCCCCGGCCTCCCTCGCCTGCTCCACATTCTGCCAGGCACAAAGCACCATAAACTACAGGCTTTCAATTAGTAACTCAGACCAAACAACTCCCCTTTGCCCAAGCAGCGGCCTTCAGACACAATTGGGGATAATGGTTTTGTGAAGAGTTTACAGTGTGTCTCATTTTTGCTGCCTTGTTCTGCACCCGTCCCTCTCGCTGTGTTGAGTTAGGGAGCCAGACTCGAGCTGCTACCTGCTGCCCAGAGCCTGAAGTGCCCCTTGTTGCCTTAGCTCCTCAGTGTCCTTCCCCCTGGCCATGGCCTTTATGGATTTACTGCAAAGCTCCCCCATTTCGGGCTACCAGTTAGTCTGCAGTTAGTGCTTACAATTAAAATATCCCATACTATTCACTACCTGTTTTCCTCCTCTTTCAAATAAAACCAGAGGTCTTGTCGCAGCGTATCGACAGCATGAAAGCCATACCCTTTATAACTCGCTGCTGCTTCTTTGAAGTCCGCACGGGAAG